TATTTCCAAAGCTGTCCAAGCAATGTACTGCCTTGGCCTCAGAACCTACTCTTCATATTAAAAGCATGAATTTTCAGCCCAAACTCCAGCAGCCAGTAAGAGTGGCCATTCCTGGGAGCTGTTCCACCCAAGCCTTGCAGGGTGAGCTTGGCCAAGGAAAGCCTTCAGCTCTCCTCCTACTACCAGCACATTCCATACTCAACTCTCATCATTTTCTTTCAGAGCCTTCACTTGTTTTGTAATTATAGGAGCTCTTCTTCAGAACTGGGAATTGAACCTTAGCTCTTCACGCTGAGCTATATCCCCAGCCCTTTTTTTTTTGGTACCAGGGATTGAACTCGGGACCTTGCGCTTGTGAGGCAGGCACTGGAACCACTGAGCTAAATCCCCGGCCCAATGAGTGGGGCATTAGAGACAATGCTCTCTTCTCTTATGGTGCGTAGTACTCCATATATCAGATTTTTTTTTTTTTTGTACTGGGGATGGAACTTGGGATCTTGCATTTTCGAGGCAGGTGCTGGGAAGCACTGAGCTAAATCCCCGCACTGCCCCCCAGCCCTTTTTAATATGTGTGTGTGCGTGATGGAGTCTTTCTAAATTGCCCAGGCTGGGCTCAAATTTGTGATCCTCTTGTCTCACCTTCCCAGAGTGCTGGGTTTAGATGCGTGTGCCATCACCCATGGCTTACATGAGTATTTCTGTGTCTCTCTACTGTCAAGGACTACATAATTCCCTAGCATATTCCCAGTATCTAGAAGTATCTGAAACAGTGTTCAATAAGTAGAAAGCACAATAATAATGTCTATGAAGTTCTTCAGGTGGTATCATAAGATGCCCATGTTATACTATGGGTTCTAAAAAGTCAGGTTACAAAATATCAAAGCAGAGCTTGAGGTGTAGCTCAATGACAGGGAACTTGACCAGCATGAACAAGCCTCTAGGTTCAATCCTTACCACCATGTGGGGCGAGGAGGGGATATCAAAAGAGTATAACTCAGCTAATAAAAGTGATTTTTTCACTGAAACATTGAGGATATGAATACTGAGGTGATTATAACTGTTATCTCTAGGTGGTGGACAATGGGAGATATTTATTTCTTTGTGCCCTTCTGTACTTAGCACAAGAAGGTAAACGCTAGTTTTAGTCAGGAAAAGGCCTACTTTCTCAACCAGACTCTGACAATGGCTGTCCAAAGGTGGCAGTGCTTCTGAGGTCCCTCAGGCCTCCTCTCCATCCACCCAAGTGCCCACCAGGGCACAGGCACCCACTCACTTCCGGGGGTCTCCTTCTCCCAGCCTGTTGGTCAGGATATAACTGGTCTTCTCACCCTCTGTGGTTAGACCCTGATAGGGAGAGAAAGAAACAGGGTCCAAGTCTTCGGACAGTTCAAAGGATGTGTAAGCAGAAGGGGGCCAGGCCCCTCCACCCGGTCCCCAGCACTGGGTCCTCCAACATCCCATGGCAGTGAGCATCTGACCACCCAGTGGCACCTGTTTACTAGTGAAAAGCTCATGGTCTTATGGGAAGAGTTCTGGACAGGACCTAGGAGAACTGGGTGTGGCTTTTGGTGGCCCCTGCACACTGAATAATACTTGAAGAGAAACTCCATGAATCCACCAACAGGTGTGCCTTATCCCCTGCTACATCCCCAGTGTTTCTTAGAGTGGGTACCAGGTGGCTGAGCCACCAGCTGAGCCAGTGAAAGGATGGCAGGAAGGAGAGAGGGAGGGAAGAAAAACGGGAGGGAAAGAGGAAAAGAGGAAGGAGGGAGAGAGGGAAAGAAGGAAGGGTCTGCCGCCTTCTAGGACAGGAAACAGCAGTCCCAACCCCAGATTGAGAGTTCAGTTTGGAATGGAAGCTGTGTGAACCAGTGAACAAACCTCTGTTTCTTTCTCTCTTTTTTTTTTTTTTACCACAAGGAAAGATGTTTTTTTATAACACATGTCAGTCAATCCCTCCCAAATAGAAAGTCTCCAAATAAATGAGTATCCTCTAGCATTTTCTGTTTTGTTTAAACCTGTTTCTTATTCTGTAAGTAAACATAAAAACCAGCCACACAGGGTCATAAAGTTTAAGCCTGTGAAGATAACCTAAATATTTTACTTCATAGCATCTAAGAACTCTGAAAATTTCCCCCATAAGTAGGTACTATATAGAATAAAAAAAGAGTTCGAAAACAGGGACCAATTACACAGGTGCCCAAAGGCAATTTTCATAGTTCTGAAGTCCTGAGACCACCCTGCAGGCAGAGACACTAGGTTGGGGCTCACATGTGGTCTACCTGGCCCTGGGGCTGGACCACTCACCTGGACAGGCTCCCCATCGCGCCAGACTAGGCCTTCTCCATCACTTTCCCAGCAGAGGTGAACTTCTTGGCTCACCCATGCCTCGGGGATGATCAACTCCACCCGGAACCAGCAGGTCCACCACCTACAAGAGCCAGGGTGATGGGCCCAGAGGTGGAAGCCCCTCCTGCCTGACTTCCTTGAATTATCAACAAGGGCTTGAGACCTGCCCCGAGCCTCTGAGGCAAAGTACTCAGTCACAAGAAAAGAGCGAAACAGGAGCGCAAGGTGAGGGGAGGAGAAAGGCAATTAGGGGAGCGCCTAGTGGGTGTTCCAAGCAGGGACCAGGTGGAAACTCCCAGGAAGCCCGCGGAATCGGAGCCGTCCGGCAGGGGGCGCTGCGCCACCACAGCTGCAGGTCGGGATGACAGGGGCGTGGCCTCGGCTGGGGGTTACCCACGTGGGTCCGAAGCGGTCGCCGACCAACGCGGGGCGGAAATCCTGCTGCACCGCGTCCTGGTAGCGGAGCCGCTCGGGCGTCAGGAAGCTGGCGAGCCCGGCCACCGGGCGCCGGTCCCCGAAGAGCCTGGCGGGAGGGCGGAACGCGTTTCCCCGAGCCCTACCACCCCGCTATCCGAGTCTCCCTGAGCCTGGCTCCGTCCCCGTCCGCACCTGCCACGGAGGTTGCAGTCGGTGAAGTAGAGTGGCGACACAAACTTCTCCACCCGCTCCAGCGCCGTGCGCCAGTGTTTCAGGGCCGGTGCCGCCACGGCCATCGCTGCGTGCTCGCTGCTCTGCCGGAAGGCCGCGTACTGCGGAGGCCGAGAACCAAAGGTTCCGGGGTCCGGCAGCGGGGCGGGGCGGCCCTGGCGGGCTGCTTTCCTTGCAACACCAGCGCCTCTTTAAAGCCCGGACGCGGGCTGAACTTTGAGTCAGGATTTAGTTGAAAGCTACAAGTTGCGCTCTCGAGGCTCTCCTGCTTCATCTGAGCAGGCAGGCAGGTGAATCCCTCAATGAAACGGGAAGTGTGACGAGGGCCTTGGGACGGACTCGGGTCCTGAAGCAGCCTACAAAAGTGGGTTCCTTGTCTTCGGGTCTGACCAGAGCCCTGGTTTAGCCCGGTGGTACAGAGACGCGAGATGCAGAGCCAGGCGGCCCGGTTGGGCGTTTCCATGCCGATGAGTAGGCAGCGTGCAAGGACAGGGAGAACGGCTTTGTACTCCACGGTCCTCCCTGTCGCACGCCCTACTTCAGGTGTATTGGTTGCTAACACTTTGCCAACACCATAAATCCAGTAGACTAAAGCCGGTCACCGAGGAGGACGGCACAGCCCAAGGGCCAGGCCTGCAGTTCCTTTCACGTCCCTATCGCTTCATTGGCTGCTCTTGTTTTTTACTAGGTAGCCAGTTTTGTTTATAAAACCACCAGTAAAAAAGGTAACTAGGGTCAGAATACCAACTGTGGCTTAAAAAGAGCTTTCTGCTCTATACAGAAGCAGTGCAAGCTGGACTTAAAAGCATGAAGCTCTCAGGCCAGATAGTAGGAGGGTAAAACAGTTGCAAAAACTCTGGCTGCCGGTAAAGGTCCCCACTGTTTACTATATTGGTGGTTTGGGGTTTTCTCCTGGTCTTGAAATCCTCTCCCGACCTCCAGGAAGGTACTTGAGACAACAATGCTCCACCAATTCCCCCCTCCCCCCAGTTCCAAGTCAGCCGATTCTCCAATGGGGAGCACAGAGGGGTGGGCTGTAGCCGAGACTGCCTCCAGGAAGTAGGTATCATACCTGCCTGCCTGGATTCCCCTCTGCCCCAAAGGCTTTGTGTCACCCTGCACTTTAGGTTCAGTCTCTTGTCCCCTACAACCAGAAAGCCTAAAAACAGAGGTTTGCCTGGTTTTAAGAGCCCGGGAATCAAAAAACTTGTTTTTCTTTATATAGTTTTGGTATTTTTTTTTTGGTACTGGGGCTTGAACTCAGGACCTTGCGCTTACGAGGCAGGTGGCGGAACCACTGAGCTAAATTCCTGGGCCCTAGTTTTGCTAATTTTAAATTAAAAAGCAAACAAAAACAATATTGTTGATTACAACGGTAGGGTGATAGTTGGAGAAAACTCCACTCCCTTACTAAAGGGCCAGTCCCAATCATTCACATTTAAGTGTATGCTAGCTAGTTTAGAGCCAGGTGGTACTGTGCGCCTGCAGTCCCATCACTCAAGAGATTGAGGCAGGAAGATTGCCTGAATTCCTGCCCAGCCTAGGATAGAGTGAGACCCTGGCCCAAAAAGAAACCTAGTTTAAATTTATATCATTAAAAAGTGTGTATATATCCCGTATCTGTGGTTGCTTAAAGGAAATGTATCAAATCCTCTCCCAACCACATTTTTACTTTACAATTTACACACAACTTTAAAATACTGGTTTGGTATTTTAAGTTGTTCATCCTTATTCCTAATAAAGATATGAAAAATATAGATAGAAATAACTACCTCACTCAACACTACTCAAATATAAAATATTTCCACATAATTGAAGAGGTGGGAAATTGCAACAAAAGAATGAAGTAAAAAAAAAAAGTCTACTTTAAAATTTGGGGATATTTTGATTTAGGACAAGTGCAAGTAACTATTACTGCTTAAAGCAAAATCCTGTTTGTACCTTGGAGAAGGAACTGAAGCCAGAACTCCTGCCTTCTTAAAACAGCTCTCTGATGAGAACAATTGGGTTCAGAGTTTATTCCTTAAGTAAGAACCAAGCTTTATTTATTTACAAAAAAAAGAAAGAAAAAAAAAAGAAAAAAAAAGTGGAGGCAAAGGGGAAGACAAGTTTTACACAAAAGTACTACAACGGTAACTCCCTTTGGTAAAAAGTGTAATAAATGTCTTGTACATCTCTTCATAGGTACTAAATCTGAAGCCACATAGTACTATGGTACACAAGAAGCTAGAGCAGTTACGCTAGCACATCAAAGCATATTTCTTTTAATAAAAAATTGACAGTATGTACATTATTTACAAAAAAAACAAGTTAAAATTGTGTGTGTGTGCACATGTGTGTCAGAGTAAAGCTGGTGGATGGCACTAAGACTAATAAAGAAGCAGGTACAAAACAGTTCCACGGGAGCTAAAAAGGATGACTGATTTGAACTTCTTGAGGCTGAGAAACAGAGGAAAGAAGGGGTAGGCAGCAAGGGATTCATCAGGAATCAAATCCACAAAATGATCAATCCCAAAGCCAACTGCAGGTCCCACATAAAACCTAATGGGTGATCTTAGATGTGAACAAGTGACCAGGGAGGAAAAAAAATCAAAGAAATCCAGTCTCTTTCCCTTGGTGGGAGGAGGGAGGAGCCGTGACCATCCCAGTTATAATGCATCTGCTCAAGTCCTTCCCCAGTCTGTTTTGTAACCGCACCTCCATCCAGTCGAAGCATGAATAGCACTGGTTGCTCCGTTGAAGGTCAGGGCACCGGAGACACGAGTCTTAGCTCTGCTGGTGTAGCAAGCAACTGCATGTCTCTGTGCTTGCATGGGCTTCCTTCCCCTCTAGGGTGGGCCAAGAGCCAACATCCCTGGGGAAGGGCCAGCTCGGGCTTTGCAAGGGGTCCACCTTCCTTAGATGTATCCTACCTGGTGACACGCTTTGCCAGTGGCCATGTCCCAGGGAGGCCAAAAAGGCATCTTCCTTGCTTCTTTAGGGTGTGTGAGTGCACATGCCCACACACACACACACGCACACACACACACCTCCTCAAGTTACTGCTCTGGCTTTGCAGTTAAGGAGCCTTGAATACTGTGCCGTATTTGACACGATACTTGTTAATGCTTACAAAGTGCAGGGTCTCTGTGTCACAGGTGGTGGTACAGGGCACCAGGCCCTCCAGCCCCTCACCCATGAGCCACTTGCTGGTCTCCGCTGCCATTTCACGGGGCACATGCTCCTTGGTCCATTTATCTACCCAGGCCTGGAATCTCTGATGCAGACGCTTGCTAACACGTTCATGGGACTACAAAACAAAATGGGGAAAACAAAATAGTACTTAAAAACCTCTTCAAATACAAATCCCAATTTTGGCCTAAAGCAGCAGAGGAAAGATGTGGGCTCAACTCGCAGATACTACTGGTTAAAAAAAAAGTTTAAAGAGAATTGGAAGAGGTGAGAACATAAAGACTGCTGGAAGGAGATGGAAACTATTAAAACCACTGAGAAATGTCAACACAGGTTCAGGGCAGTATACCATTGTACTTCCTCAGGTTTAGTATGCACTAGTATCACAAGGAATTTGTTAAAAATACAGATTTACATACGCTTTCACAAATCTGCCCTTTTAAAAATTTTTTTGCAGTGCTAGGGATCAAAGCCAGGGGATCGAAGCTTCATGCTAGCTCAGCTCTACCACTGAGCTCCACTCCACAACACAAAGTTGCATTTTAAACAGCAGCTTAGCTGATCTGAACACACCCGAGATAAAACTTAATAAGCTACAGCTGCTGGTCATCTTTCTCAGCACAGCAAGTAGCAGCCCACTTCCAAATCAGCAGAGCAAGGGGCTTACACCTCACTCTCCCTGCCCCGACCTGACTCCACCCAGTAGCAGAGCCCAGGCTCGGGGGTGAAGGGCAATTACCAGTCATGGGCCTGCTAAATATTAACTGCTGCCCACATGCAAGGCACAGCAGGAGACACAAACAGTTGCCAAGCTCCAAGAGAGCCATAACACAGCAGCCACTCCCAGCCGTGAGAACCACACTAAACCTCACATCTCTACCTTGAACATTAAACCTTAATCGGTTCAAGACGGCGTGCTTGATATGCCTCCAAACTTAGGAACCCTTTCCTATTAAGGGATGTACTCCAAACTTCCCAATGATTTAAGAACAACAAAAGCCAAACAGAACAGGCAGCATATCCTGATGTTCTCCCTTTGTGTAAGCAGTGTCTGACCCATCACCACACCCTGCCCATTCTGTCTCCATGTTTAACCTGCAATCTAATTCTCTGGATTCCATGCCAACTTCATATTCTGGGTGCCACCATATCCCATTTGGACCAAGCCTCTGGAGGGATCTTTGCCTTTCCAACTTTGTAGCTCCCCATTCTTTTTGTGACACAATCTTTTAAAAAACGGTTTATAAAAAGCGTTCCAATGCACCTCAATCCTTACCATGGCTTATGAGACAAAAGTGGCCCCTGTCTACCCTCCAAGCTACATGTATCCTACCTTCTCTATGGTTTTACATTCAGGCCACATGGGCTCATCATTACTCAGGCTTCAAGCATCACTTCTTCGGAGAAGCTGACACTAACAAAAGCAAGGCCTGTATGCCAGCTATCTCCTCCCCTTTCCCTGGCTGGTTTCCCCAGGAGGGCAAATCATATACCTGTCTGCTCTACTTCATGGCTGTCTCCCAGGGCCTGGAAAGATACCCAGTATGTAAACGCATCAGGAAGGTGTCACTACTTAGATAAGAGGTGAAAACAGGAAGAATTCATACAAGCAAAATATCAGGTACCACTTGAAACATAAACACAGGGAGCAGCCTTACCAGAAGGTACCATCAGGTATTTCTATTCTTTATTATTATTTTGGGTACCGGGGATCAAACTCTGGTCCTTGCACTTCAGGTATTTCTATTCTTAAAGTGTTACAGGGTGCACTGTCACATTCCCACATTTAAGTCCTAACCTCAGGACTGCAGAACCTGACTTTTCTGGACACAGACATGGAGAGGTTCCATACTGCATGAGGATCCAGAACACTGAAGCCTGTCAGCAAAGCACCAGAAGCTGTCCTTCCTCACAGCCTTAAGAAGGGATCAACCCTGCTGATTCAATGGTCTTGGATTTTTATCTTCCAGAATTTAAAGGCAATAATTTCTGTTCTTTTAAGACACACAGCATTGTACTACTGCTACAAAATCCTTAGCAAATAAATACACCTCATTATTCAACAGTTCTAACTTCCAAGAGGAGGATTTTTTTTTTTTTTTTTTGGTACCGGGGATCGAACTTGGGTCCTTGCGCTTGCACAGCGGGCGGCAAAACCCCTGAGCTAAATCCCCAGCCCAAGGAGGATTTTGAGACAGGGTCTCACTATGGAGCTCAGGCTTGCCTTGAACCCAAGGTGATCCTTCTTCCTCAATGCTGGGATAAAAGGCATGTGCCACCATGCCTGGCAAGAAGATTTTATAAAGGAACAGAAACAATCTCAAAATCCTGGGTTTGTCCTGGCCTTGGCTAGGGAAGCAGACAGGGAGAGAAATTCCTGTGACTGGTTCTCACCTGATGAGCTCGGAGCAAGGCGGTCCTCCGATACATGTAGTCCTCTGACTTGATCACATAGACCATTTTATAGGAATTCAGTTTGAATCTGCACTCCAGCTTATCCAGGCTGTCTACACTCTCCATGGTCTTCTTACTGTTTCCTTCTTTCCCTTCCTTTTCCTGCTGTTCTCGACCACGCTGACACTTCCGAATACGCCGCAGATTCCTACAAAAAGAGAAGCCCCACAGGATGAACGTTTGTCTAGATGATACCCATGACTCTTACCAAATGAGTTTTCCTCATGCTATGCTTTCAGAGAACCTATCATTTATTCATTTTGTGGTACTGGGGACTGAACCCAAGACCTTCGCACTGAGTGTATCCCCAGCCCTTTCTAATTTTTTTTTTTAATTTTGAGACAGGTTCTTGCTAAATTGCCTAGGCTGGGGTCCAACATGCAATTCTCCTAGAATGCCAAGATTACAGGCATGGGCCACCACATCAGGCCCACAATTTTAGTTACACGTATACATACATATGTTTAGGGTTTCATTATTAAAAAAAAAAAAGTAAACTGCAAAGACACAGAATAAAAAGTAGCAATCCTCAACCCTTCCCTACCTCCAATTCTTTAAATGCCATTTGGCTTTGGCAACAGCAGCAGCCACTATTAACAGTGTTGACTTTAAACTTCTAGGCTTCTGTGTATGAATTTATCCACTATAGTTCTGCTTCGGGACTCGATTTTTTAAATGACAAAACAGGATCATACTATGTATTTTATTGTCAACTTTCTACTTACTGTCATTTTTTTTTTTTTCAATTCTCTACATAAATTTGTTTCATTCTCTTTAATTGTTGCAGAGCAACGGGGCCTAAGTGGTTACATTTCTTTCTTTCTTTTTTTTTGGTACCAGGGATCGAACTTGGGTCCTTGCGCTTGTGCAGCAGGTGGCAAAACCACTGAGCTAAATCCCCGGCTAAGTGGTTACATTTCTTAACAGCCCCTATCAATTGGGGTTCCACATCTAAACCACATAACACAGAAAATTATTCGAAAGCCTATTTTAAAAATTCTCCTAAAGACAGTATCTAATTATTGCACAAGAAAAATAATTCACATCAATGGATACAGGAGGGGAGAGGGTAGTATTTGGAGCCTAATACTCTCCAGCAACTGATGTAGAGAGGTTATCAGCTACACAATTATATTGCTTTTCATCCTTTGCTACTGAAACTTACTTCAGCAAATACCTCTGCACACACGATTTCTGTATGACTGCAATTCTTAAGTCCAAGGGCCCTTGGAGAGCTCCAAGTCCATTCCAAGAAGGTCCAAGAAATAAACCTATTTTCATAATGATACTAAAACATTTGCACTTTTCACTGTGCTGGTATTTGCACTGACAATGTAAAAATGTAAGTGAAAAAGCCAGTTTTGCTTAAGAATGTCCTTGATCAAAGAGTAACATTTTAACTGAAATCCTACTACCGTTTGGTTTTCATATTTTTAATATGCTGTGTGATAAAATGGAAACCACATAAAGCACCCTGTGTATTAAAGTACAATAGGATTCTTGAAGCCAAGTGCTTGAATTGCAGATGAATCATCATTTTTATCTGAAAGAACAATTAAGTAAACTTAAGTCATCCTGGGTACTTGGCATTCTCAAAAAATGAACGAGGGGCCAGAGCCGGGGATTTAACTCAGTGGTTCCACCAGCGCCAAGGACCCAAGTTCGATCCCTGGTACCAAAAAAAAAAAAGAATGAGGGGGCCTGTCACTTGAAAGAAAACCACTGAACATACTTGTTGCCAATAACAGGGTTTGAATTTTCAAGCAAAACTATGCATTTTGGTAAAAATGTGATGGCAGCAACCATAAGCCTAACAGTTCTCCAATACTAAATGATGTGCCTGATGAAATCAGTGTTTAACCGTGTGAGATGGGGAGGGGCAGTGTGAAACACATATCTACTTAGTATACTGTGCCCAAATTAATGAGTAACTTCAAATAACCAATCATGAATGAAAAAAGGATCAATTCAAAGCCCAAGATAAACCAATTTTCACCTAATGGCATATAGCAAGCTCATTAGTATGTGATATTGTAACTAATCTTTAAGAAACCACCCTTGTAGAGTTTTGTCATCAGACTATTCAGTTTCTCAAAGGACAGGAAAATATTTTTCTCCAGCTACACATTTGAGTATGATGAGATTTTCTTTACTTATTTCAACCACAATGCAGCAGATTGAATGCAGAGCAAATATAAGAACTAGCACTTCTATTAAGGCAAACACTAAACAGATTTGCAAAATGGAGAACAATGTCACTTTTCACTAATTTTTTGATTTGAATTAGCTTTTCATTAAAAAGTATTTATGAAAGGCTGGGGATTTAGCTCTGAGGCACCAGTCTGCCTTGCAAGCACAAGGTTCTGAGTTTGATCCCTGGTACCAAAAAAAGAAAAGTATTTATGAGAACATAGTCTAGTATTTTTATTTATTTACTGTTTTTGAGACAGGGTTTCACTATGTAGTTGAGACTGGTCTTAACTCATTATGTAGCCCAGGCTAGCCTTAAACTCACAGCGATCCTCCTGCTGCAGCCTGCCAAGTGCTGGGATTACAGGCATGCGCCACTACACCTGGCAGTATTTATTATTAATTAATTAATTAATTGGTACAGGGAATCGAACTCGGGTCCTTGTGCTTGCGAGGCAGGCAGTGGAACCACTGAGCTAAATCCCCAGCAGTACTGTTATTTTAAAAATAAACATTTTAAACACTTTTCCATTGTGATTTCCAATATGCCAAGTATTACCAGTATAATGTCCATAAACAAAAGTTCTTTGGGATGCTCAAGCCCTAAGAGTATGAGAAGGTGAAAAAGACTGAAAATGTTAGCTATAAGACAGATAGCTGGGTGTGGTGATGCACACCTGAACCCAGCACTTGGGAGGCAGAGGCAGGAGGATCACCGTGAGTTCCAGGCTATCCTGGGCTACATAGTGAGTTCAGGGCCAGCCTGAACTAAAGCATGACCTGTCTCCAAAAAAAAGACAAACTGGAAAAACTGTAAACCAAAGATCTGATTCTTGTGTGTTTATTCTAATTTTGTGTGTAAGAGGATAGAGTTGAGTTAATCTATTTATACTTATAATACATGTCTTTTAAATGAGAAAATGTTATATCTTTTTAGATTTTACATGTAGTTCATGTTTGAAAAAAAACTCTGCTCAGTATTAGTCTGGAGTACACAACTGTTAAAGACATTGAGCACAGTTAATTCTAACACTTGTTTAAATCTGAATGTCACCTGGTTAATTCTTAAACTTCAGTGGAAAAAACTCATGTTCTAGGGGGTATTAATGGGTTCCATTTATTGATTTCTTACTTTTTTTTTTGATACCGGGGATCAAACTCGGGTCCTTGTGCTTACACAGCAGGTGGCGAAACCACTTACTTATTTTTTGAGACAGGGTCTTTCTCTGTAATTTAGGCTGGCCTTGAACTCACAGTGATCCTCCTGCCTCAGCCTCCTGAGTACTGGGATTACAGGTATGAGCCACCATATCTGAATAAAATATTGATTTCTGGGCTGGGGATTTAGCTCAGTGGTTCCACCGCCTGCCTTGCAAGCGCAAGGTCCTGAGTTCAATCCCCAGTACCAAAAAAATAAAATAAAATATTGATTTCAGATGGAAGCATTAACTACTAAATATGGTTAACATATATAGTTTGAATTAATTTGCTTTTATTTGGCAGGGAGTGGGGGGTGTTACATAGAAAAAAATGTGTGGTCAGCCCCATTTGTTAACTGACTATTACATATTCGCTACTGGACCACTGATCAGTTGATTTTATCATTCACTGTATAAATAGCCAATTTTTAAATCCTGAAATGTTTAAGTGATAGTTGCCTAAAGTTAGCAGTTCAGGTTCAGTAGTCTTTACACTTGTATGATACTAAAATGAATGAACATATTGCCTTGCATTGTGAGGCACAGGTGAAGTTGGGAGTCCAGTTTTAGGATTCTACTTCCAAGTAGCTCAGTAATGTGACAATATCTGCTGGCTCAGATTCCATTTCCAAACCTGACTAAAGGGAAACAGTTTTAATATAAAGCATCTCAAAATCTCCTAAAGCTGAATATTGTACAAGTGTTAAATGATTAAAAATAAAGCTGATTTTATGTAAGAGAGAGGAAAAAGGATGAGAAAGGGGACGGGAGAAAGGAACCAAAGTTCTGGGGTGAAAGTTCTATTCATTTCCATGTCCTGTCCCCATAAACTCTACCACAGAGTGTAAATCTATTAAAATGTTTATGGTTGAGAGGAACCTGGAACACGAAACCTGCTGCATGAATCAAGGAGCAAACAATGGCCAGGGCCCTCTCTGCTGTTCCTGGTTCATGGTCTCATGAGGTCTCAGTGTAGTCATACACAAAGAACACCTTTTTTGAATGTAAAGGGCCGGGGATTTAGCTCAGTGGTTCCGCCACCCGCCTCGAAAACGCAAAGACTCCAAGTTCGATCCCCATTACCAAAAAAAATAGAATCTAAGACATGCAATTTCAATTCCAAGATTTTGGAAGAAAGTCACTCTATTTTCTACTTATGAAACTGTTTCTTTTCTGTTTTGGTACTGGGGATCGAACTCGGGACCTTACACTTTCGAGGCAGGCGCTGGAACCACTGAGCTAAATCCCCAGCCTGAAATTGTTTTCATACTCAGAGGATGAGGTGAGTTTTTGTTTGTTTATAGGGGAAATTAAAAATTTTGTGTAGAACAGAGTTACTTATAGCAGCCCTAAGACTGCTGGCTTTTAGAAGTCCTGCTTAGAAGTTTGGCTCCTGGCTAGAGTGGGGGGGATCTTAGATTTTAAGGGACTTTCCATCATTCCCCAAATCATGTAAGTGACTCATTATACTAAACTGTTTATACAAACTATCTGGTTTATGCTAAAAATCTGCTGTTCTTCTGAGTCTGGAATTTTGGTTCATGCCAGAAAGAGGGTGCCTACATGACTAATATTCAATGAAAACTCCTGACTAGGGCCGGGGATTTAGCTCAGTGGTTCCGGCGCGGCGCCTGCCTCGAAAGTGCAAGGACCTGAGTTCGATTTCTGGTACCAAACAAAAAAGAAAAAGAAAATTCCTGACAGCGTGTCCTCAAGAGAACTTCCTTGGTACACAGTATTTCACATACGACTTGTGTGACTCCACAGGGAGAGGACTCTGCCTCAGGCACCTTTTCTCTTTACTGATTTGCTTTTATTTCCTTCTTGCAGTGAATCCTCGTTATAAGTATGACTATGTGCTAAACCTTGCTAATTCTTTCAGTGTATCACTAAGCCTGGAGACTGCAGCATGTCTGCCCAATGCAGCCAAGTTCCTGGGGGTGCACTGTAACTCTCCCCTGCCTGATGAGGGGGCACTATCCAGAAAGCACAAGTTGTAACACCCACACAAACCTGGAACCCAGCATCTTTGGCAGGCAGAACAAATGAGTGGAAATCATGAGAACTAAAAGAACTTTCGAATCACTGACTCTCTACTCTTCAGCCATGCATGAGTGTGTGTGGCAGTGCATGACCCAGTGCACTCACCTCGGGAGAAACACTGGTTTCTGAGCCAGATGCTCACGTAGCTCAGGGGAGGTAGTGTCGGAATTCATGTAGCGTTCCACATAGTCTGACCAGCGCTGGAGGAGGAAATAAAATTGGAAATGGAAAAGGTAATAAAAACAGAACAACACCCTCATCAGTCTAGTAAATACTATGACTAAAATGTCCAAAGTCTATAAAGATCATTATTTTTTCCCTACTGACATGCTTGTTATTGGTATTAAAACACAGATTTTAAATTTCTGTTAGCCAGCAAGATACCAAGTTTTTCTGGATGCTTAATTTATCAGAAATGATAAATGGGTAAAACTGGCAAGTTTTATTTTCCCATAGAGGGTTCTGTTAAAGAACAAAATGTATATAGGCAGGGATTTAGCTCAGCAGCACCGTGCCTGCCTCACAAGCACAAGCTACTGAGTTCGAGCCATGGTACAAAAAAAGAACTAAATGTATAGAAATAAATGTCTAAAAAATGACTAACTTCCACATGAAAATTTGGACTTCTGGTATCTCTTGAAGATGGAGGGAGGTAGGAGGGGAGGAAGAAAGAATGGGAAGGAGGGAGAAGGAAAGATTTGGCAACAAAAGCCAATATTCACATCAAACAGTTTTCCTTATTTATGCCCCAGCCTCATACACATGGCTTGTGCTTCCTGCTTACATCACCTGCCAGACAAACTATTGCTAATCACCACTGTCTGCTTTGGGCTGAGAGAACTCCTGTCTTCATTCAGCCCCATAAAAAGTGAACAAGACACAGAATTACAATGATATGGCCAAAAATGGCTCATTTGTTTCTTACACTAAAGGAAAAAGACAGTAAAGCTGCCAGCCATTGAGATTTCCTCAAGGGAGATCCACACCCTGGCAGCCCTTCCCTTTAGTCAAAGACATGGCTGATAACCTACATGTTAAGTCCCTGACCCTTCAAACAGGCCTAAGAGCTGGGTCTTCTTTAAGATGGAGTACTAGGCAGACTCTCAGGACCAGCTCACTGGCTCTGCACCACACAGGAAACTTGCCCTTACCTCTGCTTCCACAGGGTCATCTGAGTTCTCCTCTTCTGTGTCCAGAAGCTCAATGGTTAGCTGAACTTGGCCTTGGCTCTGAATAAACATAAGCTGCAAGTAACAAGCCAGAGTGTAAATAAACAACATTTCCAAAGTTATAACCTAGCTCAGTGATGGCAAACCTTTTAGAGCTTTCAATGATAAACAGCTGGCTGCAGCACACGTGCCACAGGTTCGCCACCACTGACCTAGTTTCTCAAGCTATGGGAGATAGGGAGGCAATAAAGTTATAACATTTTACTCCAGGGCTAGGATTTAGTTTAGTGGTGCCACTGTCTGCCTTGCAAGAGCAAGGTCCTGAGTTCAATCCTTGGTACCGAAAAGAAAAAATTTTTTTTCACTCCAACTGAAGAGATGAGAAAGATCCTCAAAAGACTGGGAGACTAGTGATAAAAGTAAAATTCCAGGGGCGGGGATTTAGCTCAGTGGTTCTGCCGGGTGCCTCGAAAGTACAAGGACCCGAGTTTGATCCCCGGTACCAAAAAAAAAAAAAAAAAAAA